GCGTGCTGCGTCTGGAGGTGCTCTAGGTGTCCCGTCGCGGCGAGAGCCCCTCTCTCCACAGCGGCTTCGTGAGTGTTACTCTCGGCGCTGTCGAGTTGCTGCTGGTGCTGGTGCTGCTGGTGCTGGGGCTGCTGGAGGTGCTGGAGGTGCTACTGGAGCTACTGGAGGTGCTGGCGCTGCTGGAGGTGGTGCTGGTGCTGGAGCTGCTGGAGGTGCTGCTGGTGCTGGAGCTGCTGGAGGTGCTGGAGGTGCTGCTGGAGCTGCTGGAGGTGCTGGAGGTGCTGCTGGAGCTACTGGAGGTGCTGGTGCTGCTGGAGGTGGTGCTGGTGCTGGAGCTGCTGGAGGTGCTGGTGCTGCTGGTGGTGCTGGTGCTGGCGCTGCTGGAGGTGGTGCTGGTGCTGGAGCTGCTGGAGGTGCTGCTGGGACTAGAGACCCTGGGGCTGAGGGTACCGGTTCTGTCTCTGCTGTTTCTGGAGGCGCTGCGCGGCCGCGGCCGTACTTCGTTCCACTCCTTCAGCAGGTTCTTGGCTCCCCGCCTTCTCCGGGTCCTCCTCCTCCTCCCTTCCTGAGTCCACCGCCGGTCCAGTCCCAGTCGCAGTTGCAGCCGGCCTCTCCGCTGCCTGGTCCTTCTCCTTACTCTGGTCCGACTAGAGGTCTTACGGAGCGTCGTGAGCCTGAGTCTCGTCCTGTGTCGCCTGAGTCTCGTCCTGCGTCGCCTGTCCGTACTGTTCGCGCTGGTCGTGTTTCGCGTCCGCGTCTTCCTCCTGTCCCAGGCACTCACTCTATGACACTGCGTCCTTCTACTGCTCCACAGCGTGTCCCTCTGCCCTCTCCTCCTGCGTCCTCTCTTCCTGACGGTCCGGACCCGGAGTCTGACTCCCTTCGTGCTGCTAGTCCTACTGTCACGCGCTTTCTGGCCACTGCTGTCACTGACCCTCTGTTTGAGTCCTCTGCTGCGTCTTCTCTCGTTGCTGAGCTTGTTGACTTTGCTGCAGCCTGTCGCCTAGACTACGCCGCTAGTCTTATTGCTGAGTCTGTGTCTGCGTCTGTCTGTCCTCCGTCCGTCGGGGGTGAGTGTGCTCTTGGCACGGACGTCCTTGAGGACAGACAGGAGGAACTTGAGTGTTTTGCTGCTGCTTCACCTCATCTCGTGTCCATGCTGCTTGCCCCTGAGGGAGACCCGGATGCACTAGACATCCCGACCCCGCGCTCTTACGCACAGGCGATAGAGGGTCCCTACTCCTCTCAGTGGCAGGCAGCCATGGACGCAGAGATGGCTTCCTGGAAGTCCACAGGCACCTACGTAGACGAGGTTCCCCCACCTGGGGCGAACATCGTCAGTGGCATGTGGATCTTCAGGGTGAAGCGGCCGCCGGGTTCTCCGCCTGCCTTCAAGGCGCGTTACGTTGCACGTGGCTTCAGTCAGCGACAGGGAGTTGACTTCTTTCAGACCTTCTCCCCTACCCCGAAGATGACCACTCTTCGGGTACTGCTGCACGTTGCTGCTCAGCGTGACTACGAGCTCCACTCGCTTGACTTCAGCACAGCCTTCCTACAGGGCAGCCTGCACGAGGAGATCTGGCTGCGCCGCCCACCTGGCTTCACTGGGTCGTTTCCTGCTGGTACCCAGTGGAGCCTCCGGCGGCCAGTCTACGGTCTCCGCCAGGCACCCCGTGAGTGGCACGACACGCTCAGGATGACTCTTGCTGCTCTTGGTTTTGCTCCTTCCACTGCTGACCCTTCTCTGTTTCTACGCACTGACGCTACTCTGCCGCCGTTCTACGTTCTTGTGTACGTAGACGACCTTGTCTTTGCTACTGCTGACACGGAGGCACTCGCCCACGTGAAGTCCGAGCTGCAGAAGAGACACACGTGCACAGACCTGGGTGAGCTCACAAGCTATCTTGGCTTGCGGATTACCCGGGACAGAGCACAGCGCACCATTACCTTGACTCAGTCACACATGGTGCAGCAGGTCCTTCAGCGCTTCGGCTTCACCTACTCCTCGCCACAGTCCACTCCTCTGCCTACCGGTCACTCGCTCTCAGCTCCACCTTCGGACGAGTCCGTAGAGCCGAGTGGCTCGTATCCAGAGCTTGTGGGCTGCCTCATGTACCTGATGACTTGCACACGACCTGACCTCGCATACCCTCTCAGCCTTCTGGCTCGCTACGTGGCTCCCGGCAGGCACCGAAAGGTGCACTGGGATGCTGCGAAGAGGGTGTTGCGATACTTGTGCAGTACATCGGGCATGGGGCTCGTGCTTGGAGGACGGGCTCGAGTTGTCCTCACTGGTCACGCTGACGCCTCCTGGGTTGACGACTTGGCTACCCCAGCGGTCGTCACAGGGTTACACCTTCAGCCTTGGCTCCGGTTCTGTCTCCTGGCGGTCTACCCGCTCTTTTTCTGTTCTCAGCTCCAGTTGTGAGGCTGAGATCTACGCTGGGGCCATGGCTGCACAGGAGCTTCGCTGGCTCACCTACCTGCTGACTGACTTGGGAGAGGCGCCTCGTTCTCCTCCAGTTCTGTACGTCGACAACAAGGCCATGCTGGCCTTGTGTCAGGAGCACAGACTGGAGCACAGAACGAAGCACATTGCTCTGCGCTACTTCCTTGCTCGAGAGTTGCAGCAGCGTGGCCAGCTTCGTCTTGCTTACGTGGCCTCTCAGGCCAACACTGCTGATGTTTTCACCAAGGCACTTCAGCCTTGTGATCATCAGCGTTTCTGTACTGTGTTAGGCCTTTTACCTACTGTGCCTCACTTGTTGACTTCTTGACTCTGCTTGTACTGTACTCTATATACTTATACCTGCATGTGAACTGGCCTTATGGCCCTTTGCTTGTGCTCAGACTGTGTGGTGACTTTGTGATCCACCCTGAGCTTGCTTTGCTTTTCTTGACTGGTCTTGTGACCTCTTGTTCTCCCCCACTTTGCCTATGGGGGTGTGTCAAACTTATATCTGCTATGGTCTATTTAGGCTGTAGTGGGGTAGCTCTTAGAGGGTACAACACTTATGTGTTTCCTATATGTACCCATCTCATTTCTAGTTCATTCATTCTTTCGTCTATCATTCTCACAATAACGCCGTCACGATCAGCTCCAATAACGTACGAGGCTGAAACTTGGACAGACGTTAGCTTCAAGTGTCTGCTTTCCAACTATATATTGCTTGCTTTCATCAGAGGTGTATGCGCTACGCAGTGAATGAAAACGTAAGCTCGGCTGAAAACGTGTAGTTTCATTGATGCAAGGAAGAGGGAAGTACAACATTGCCTAGGGGACTCTTAAGGGGTTGGGACCATCCTGGGAACTCAGAGAAGGTTAAGTCCTAGGGGAGAAAGGCTAGAGAAGGATGGGAAACGTCCTAGCTATCAGAATCGAAGTTAGAGTTTAGGAGCAAGCTTAGGAGCCATGCTAGAGTTTAGGCTATGCATGACTATCTGAAGAGTTGGAGAGCAAGAAAAGTAATTTCACTATAGAGAGTGAAGTACAAATAAGGTAGGAAAGGGGGGTACACCACCAAGCAGGAAATTAGGATAACTACACTACAGCTAGAACTACATGCAGTTATAACAATATAACTCTGAAACTAGCTAGGTCAGCAAAGCCAAGCACACTTGGATGTTCAGAGCTGTACTCAAGGCCACCAATAGTGAGTCAAGTCAACCATGAGTCAGCTTGTCTTCCCACTTGCACCCTCTTGCAAGCTGCTTTCAGCAAGACCACACTTCTCAAAAAGGAGGGTGGTTGAGTCCCACTTGACCACCTGTACTTCTTGTCTCATTCTCTGTCCCTGCACCATTGGCATGACAACAATGAAAGGGTGGCAAGGGAAATGCTGCCAACAGTGCACCATGACTACGGAACAGTAACTTTCGACAGCTGTCACGTGCTGCTCCGATGCTGGGTTGTCCTGAAACTCGGTGACCACCTGCAAAACACGGCAAAGGACTTCTACACCGATTTTCACACCAATCAGAGCTTGGTAGATGAGTCAGAAGCCGAAATTGTGAACTCTGGTGTTACCAAAAAAGAGTAACACACACTTCCGGGATGCCATAAGTCTTGAAACTAAAAATGTTGCCATGCCTTGTAAACTGCTTAAAATTTTCTAAAACTTTGTGGGTTTAAAAAACGCATGTTGAATCATCTCCCCACAAAATTCCAAAAGCTAAGTAGGCTTGTAGGCTGAATGGGAGTGCGATGACCGTGCCACTATAGTGCTTTGACACAACAAACTCCCCCTCATCGTGCTGCAACAGGATCTCTCACTCACGGTTTCCTCTACCATAACTCAGTACCTCAGACTCAACATCCTGGACAGAGAAAACGCGATCTATCTCAACGCCGCAAAATACGCCGACTGTCAAACTTATATCTGCTATGGTCTATTTAGGCTGTAGTGGGGTAGCTCTTAGAGGGTACAACACTTATGTGTTTCCTATATGTACCCATCTCATTTCTAGTTCATTCATTCTTTCGTCTATCATTCTCACATGGTATAGAGCTAGTTTCGAGATTTTTTAGAAAGGGCCCACCACTGAAATTTCTCCCCTGCCTACTTGACGCGCGCTTTGCGCCTTCCCTTCGAGGCCCGTCACGGCCCCTGCGCCCGCCCTTAGAGCCAGCGCCCGCCCCGTAAGGCCCCGTAAGGCCTCGTTAGGCCCCGTAAGGCCCCTTACGGCCCCGTTTAAGGCCCCGTTTAAGGGCCCGTAAGGCCCCGTCAGGCCCCGTTAGGCCCCGTAAGGCCTCTTAAGGCCCCGTAAGGCCCGTTTACGGCCCCATTTAAGGCCCCGTCAGGCCCCGTATGGCCCCGTAAGGCCCCGTAAGGCCCCTTTCCGACCCCGTTTACGGCCCCGTTTTAAGGCCCCGTAAGGCCCCGTAAGGCCCCGCAAGGCCCCTTAAGGCCCCGTTTAGGGCCCCGTTTAAGACCCCATCAGGCCCCGTTTGGCCCCGTTTAAGGCCCCGTAAGGCCCCGTCAGGCCCCGTAAGGCCCCGTATGGCCCCGTAAGGCCCCATTTGGCCCCGTTTAAGGCCCCGTAAGGCCCGTCAGGCCCCGTTAGAGGCCCCGTACGGCCCCGTCAGGCCCCGTTATAAGGCCCCATTTGGCCCCGTTTAAGGCCCCGTAAGGCCCGTCAGGCCCCGTTAGTGGCCCCGTAAGGCTCCTTCAGGCCCCGTTAGAGGCCCCGTAAGGCCCCGTCAGGCCCCGTTTGGCCCCGTTAGAAGCCCCGTACGGCCCCGTCAGGCCCCGTTATAAGCCCCGTCAGGCCCCATTGGCCCCGTTTAAGGCCCCGTAAGGCCCGTCAGGCTCCGTTATAGGCCCCGTACGGCCTCGTCAGGCCCTGTCGCAGCTCTTCCCCGGCCCTGCCCCGGTCCTACTCCTGCACTGCCCCGACCCTGCTCCTGAACTGCCCCGGCCCTGCTTCTGCACTGCCCCGGCCCTGCTCCTGAACTGCCCCGGCCCTGCCCCGGCCCTGCCCCGGCCCTGCCCCGGCTCTGCCCCGGCCCTGCCCCGGCCCTGCCCCGGCCCTGCTCCTGAACTGCCCCGGCCCTCCCCCGGCCCTGCTCCTGAACTGCCCCGGCCCTACCCCGGCCCTGCCCCAGCCTCTCCCCTGGTACGAGCGCCGCCCTGACTAGCCGGCTTAGCCGAGTTTCACTGCTGCTGCTGCTAGCCTGCTGCTTCTCCTGTCATGGCTAGTCTCAATGTTCTTACCTTTGATGCTGAGGGTCGGGCTGTTGACTTTGAGGTATGGCTAGATGATCTGCAGCTTTTCCTACAGTGCGATAGCAAGGATGGTCTCTCACTGTTCGATCTCACGTCTGGCGCCTCTACTGCCCCTACTGCTGATGCTGACAGTACTGTTCGCTCGCAGTGGCTCACGCGCGATGCTGCTGCTCGTCTTGCTGTGCGCAACCACCTGCCGTCTACTGAGCGCGCGCACTTTAGTCAGTACAAGAGTGCTAGGGCTCTGTACGACGCTGTAGTTGCACGCTACTCCTCCCCTACCACTGCTGCCCTCAGCCGCCTCATGCTGCCGTACCTTTTTCCTGACCTTGCCGCCTTTTCCACAGTTGCTGACCTAGTTGCTCACCTCCGCACTAGTGACGCTCGCTACCGCGCTGCCCTTCCCACTGAGTTTCTTCCCACGAACTCCCCCCCCATGTACATCACCCTTTACTACCTAGTCATCCGCCTCCCTGACTCTCTCTCCTCAGTCAGGGATCACTTTCTCTCCCTTTGCCCTACCGAGCTGACTGTCGACTTGCTAGAGGAGCGCCTTGCTGCAGCTGAGAAGAGTATCTTAGCTGTTGGTGCTTCTCGCGGTGACCGTCGCACCCCCTTCTTTGAGGGATGTTCCTCTGTCCCCCTTCTCCCCTCTGTTGCCTCTGCTGCTGCTGTCGACCTCGTTCGCACTGAGGAGGTCGGCGCTGCGTCTGCCCCTAGTGGGCGACGCCGCACTGGCAAGGGCAAGGGAAGCAGGGGTGGTGGTGGGGGCGGTGGAGGCAGCGGTGGAGGAGGTGGAGGAGGTGGAGGTGGTGGTGGGGGTGGTTCCGGGAGTGGGGGCGTCGGTGGCGGCAGTGGCGGCCGTGGCGGCGGTGGCGGAGGAGGCGGCGGCGGCGGCGGCGGCGGTGGTGGAGGTAGCGGAGGAGGTGGTGCTGGTCGCGGTGCGGCCACGCAGCGTGGAGGCCTTGGTGGCAGCCAGCGTCAGCAGCAGCTGCGCACCCGTGAGACCCCGTCTGTTCAGCAGCTTCGTGAGTGGTACGCTGGGCGTGGGAGGTCTGGGGGTGCAGGTCCCTGCGCGTACGTTCTTCGCACCGGCACTCGTAGTGGGGAGGTGTGTGGTCTCCCACACACCACGCAGCGCTGCTTTGGCCGCTTGACTGACGCTTGGCGTACCCACTTTCCTGACACTGTTGATCTTCCTCGTTGGCATGATCTGCTTCTGCAGAATGTGCCTATCTTTGACCTAGACTTTGATGCTATCCTTGCTGCTATGTATGCTCTTGCTGATATTACTGAGGGTGACTGTTACCTGCGTGTCCCGCCCGACCCGGGCACTGTGGCTGCTGCTCTAGGTGCTAGTGTGTCTGCTGCTCCAGGTGCTAGTGCGGCTGCTGCTCTAGGTGCTAGTGCGTCTGCTGCTCCAGGTGCTGGTACGTCTCCTCCCTCTGGTACTGCACCTACTGAGTCCATTCACACTTTCACACTTGACTCTGGTGCTTCGCGCTCTTTCTTTAGAGACAGCACCACGCTCACGCCGCTCAGTCGGCTTGTTGCGGTCTCCCTTGCTGACCCCTCAGGGGGCCCAGTACTTGCACACTCCTCCACTGTCCTACCGTGTCCTGCGGCCCCGTCGGGCTTGCTGTCGGGACTCCACCTCCCCTCGTTCTCTACGAACCTGGTGAGTGGAGCTGACCTCCAGGACGCGTGGGTTGACCAGTTCACCCCTGGAGGTCAGCGTGTGACCCACTGCACTTGCTCTCGGACGGGCCGCCACCTAGCCACGTTCACCCGTCGGCCAGGGTCGAGTCTGTACACACTGACTACTGCGCCTCCTCCAGTCTCTGCGTCTGGTCCGGTAGCCGCGTCCAGTCAGGTGTTTGCTGCCACGTCCAGGTCTAGTCCTGCGCCTGCCCCCTGCTCGTGTCGTCCTTTGGCACACGAGACCCTCCTTTGGCACCACTGCCTTGGTCACCCCTCCCTGCCTCGTCTTCGAGGTATGGCCTCCCGTGCCCTTGTCTCGGGTCTACCCAGGTCTCTCCCTCCCCTTCCTCCGGGGCCTGCCCCCACCTGTGTTCCTTGTGTCGAGGGCCGGCAGCGCGCTGCCCCTCACTCCTCCTCGTTTCCTCCGACAGAGGCTCCTCTGCAGACTCTTCACATGGACGTGTGGGGCCCAGCCCGCGTCCGTGGACAGAGTCACGAGCGCTACTTCCTCCTGGTCGTTGACGACTACTCGCGTTACACCACAGTCTTCCCCTTGCGCAGCAAGGGTGAGGTTCCTGAGGTGTTGATCGACTGGATCCACGGTGCTCGTCGCCAGCTCAGTGAGAGTTTCGGCTCAGACCTTACTGTTCTGCGTCTGCACTCGGACAGAGGAGGGGAGTATTCCTCCGACCTCCTGCGAGCCTTCTGTCGTTCGGAGGGCATCCGCCAGACGTTCACGCTTCCGGCCTCCCCGCAGCAAAATGGGATTGCTGAGCGCCGCATTGGCATGGTCATGGACGTCGCTCGTACGTCCATGATCCATGCGGCTGCTCCCCATTTTCTGTGGCCGTTCGCGGTTCAGTACGCTGCGCATCAGATCAACCTTCAGCCTCGTGTCTCCTTGCCGGAGACCACACCTACTCTGCGGTGGACGGGGAAGGTTGGCGATGCGTCCGCGTTCCGTGTCTGGGGATCTCGAGCTTTTGTCCGCGATACTACAGCGGACAAGCTGTCCTCCCGTGCCGTTCCCTGTGTCTTCCTTGGCTTCCCTCCTGACGCACCCGGGTGGCAGTTCTACCACCCCACCTCACGTCGTGTTCTGTCCTCTCAGGACGTCACGTTCGACGAGTCGGTGTCGTACTACCGTCTCTTTCCCTACCGCACTGCCTCTCCCCCCCCCCCCGCCGCTCTTCCTGGCACCAGGTACTCCCCTGGTAGACCCCCTCCCCCCCCAGGGTCCTGCCCCCTCAGGTGTGTCCCAGGTAGACCCTGCCGAGCCGGTCGAGGTAGCTGTCGACTCAGGTGCTGCTAGGGGTGCTGAATCTGGGGGTGCTGAGTCTGCGGGTGCTGAGACTGGGCGTGCTGAGCCTGGGGGTGTGGCGCCTGAGGGTACTGTGTCTGGAGGTACTGAGCCTGCGCGTGCTGCGTCTGGAGGTGCTCTAGGTGTCCCGTCGCGGCGAGAGCCCTCTCTCCACAGCGGCTTCGTGAGTGTTACTCTCGGCGCTGTCGGGTTGCTGCTGGTGCTGGTGCTGCTGGTGCTGGGGCTGCTGGAGGTGCTGGAGGTGCTACTGGAGCTACTGGAGGTGCTGGCGCTGCTGGAGGTGGTGCTGGTGCAGGAGCTGCTGGAGGTGCTGCTGGTGCTGGAGCTGCTGGAGGTGCTGGAGGTGCTGCTGGAGCTGCTGGAGGTGCTGGAGGTGCTGCTGGAGCTACTGGAGGTGCTGGTGCTGCTGGAGGTGGTGCTCGTGCTGGAGCTGCTGGAGGTGCTGGTGCTGCTGGTGGTGCTGGTGCTGGCGCTGCTGGAGGTGGTGCTGGTGCTGGAGCTGCTGGAGGTGCTGCTGGGACTAGAGACCCTGGGGCTGAGGGTACCGGTTCTGTCTCTGCTGTTTCTGGAGGCGCTGCGCGGCCGCGGCCGTACTTCGTTCCACTCCTTCAGCAGGTTCTTGGCTCCCCGCCTTCTCCGGGTCCTCCTCCTCCTCCCTTCCTGAGTCCACCGCCGGTCCAGTCCCAGTCGCAGTTGCAGCCGGCCTCTCCGCTGCCTGGTCCTTCTCCTTACTCTGGTCCGACTAGAGGTCTTACGGAGCGTCGTGAGCCTGAGTCTCGTCCTGTGTCGCCTGAGTCTCGTCCTGCGTCGCCTGTCCGTACTGTTCGCGCTGGTCGTGTTTCGCGTCCGCGTCTTCCTCCTGTCCCAGGCACTCACTCTATGACACTGCGTCCTTCTACTGCTCCACAGCGTGTCCCTCTGCCCTCTCCTCCTGCGTCCTCTCTTCCTGACGGTCCGGACCCGGAGTCTGACTCCCTTCGTGCTGCTAGTCCTACTGTCACGCGCTTTCTGGCCACTGCTGTCACTGACCCTCTGTTTGAGTCCTCTGCTGCGTCTGCTCTCGTTGCTGAGCTTGTTGACTTTGCTGCAGCCTGTCGCCTAGACTACGCCGCTAGTCTTGTTGCTGAGTCTGTGTCTGCGTCTGTCTGTCCTCCGTCCGTCGGGGGTGAGTGTGCTCTTGGCACGGACGTCCTTGAGGAGAGACAGGAGGACCTTGAGTGTTTTGCTGCTGCTTCACCTCATCTCGTGTCCATGCTGCTTGCCCCTGAGGGAGACCCGGATGCACTAGACATCCCGACCCCGCGCTCTTACGCACAGGCGATAGAGGGTCCCTACTCCTCTCAGTGGCAGGCAGCCATGGACGCAGAGATGGCTTCCTGGAAGTCCACAGGCACCTACGTAGACGAGGTTCCCCCACCTGGGGCGAACATCGTCAGTGGCATGTGGATCTTCAGGGTGAAGCGGCCGCCGGGTTCTCCGCCTGCCTTCAAGGCGCGTTACGTTGCACGTGGCTTCAGTCAGCGACAGGGAATTGACTTCTTTCAGACCTTCTCCCCTACCCCGAAGATGACCACTCTTCGGGTACTGCTGCACGTTGCTGCTCAGCGTGACTACGAGCTCCACTCGCTTGACTTCAGCACAGCCTTCCTACAGGGCAGCCTGCACGAGGAGATCTGGCTGCGCCGCCCACCTGGCTTCACTGGGTCGTTTCCTGCTGGTACCCAGTGGAGCCTCCGGCGGCCAGTCTACGGTCTCCGCCAGGCACCCCGTGAGTGGCACGACACGCTCAGGATGACTCTTGCTGCTCTTGGTTTTGCTCCTTCCACTGCTGACCCTTCTCTGTTTCTACGCACTGACGCTACTCTGCCGCCGTTCTACGTTCTTGTGTACGTAGACGACCTTGTCTTTGCTACTGCTGACACGGAGGCACTCGCCCACGTGAAGTCCGAGCTGCAGAAGAGACACACGTGCACAGACCTGGGTGAGCTCACAAGCTATCTTGGCTTGCGGATTACCCGGGACAGAGCACAGCGCACCATTACCTTGACTCAGTCACACATGGTGCAGCAGGTCCTTCAGCGCTTCGGCTTCACCTACTCCTCGCCACAGTCCACTCCTCTGCCTACCGGTCACTCGCTCTCAGCTCCACCTTCGGACGAGTCCGTAGAGCCGAGTGGCTCGTATCCAGAGCTTGTGGGCTGCCTCATGTACCTGATGACTTGCACACGACCTGACCTCGCATACCCTCTCAGCCTTCTGGCTCGCTACGTGGCTCCCGGCAGGCACCGAAAGGTGCACTGGGATGCTGCGAAGAGGGTGTTGCGATACTTGTGTAGTACATCGGGCATGGGGCTCGTGCTTGGAGGACGGGCTCGAGTTGTCCTCACTGGTCACGCTGACGCCTCCTGGGTTGACGACTTGGCTACCCCAGCGGTCGTCACAGGGTTACACCTTCAGCCTTGGCTCCGGTTCTGTCTCCTGGCGGTCTACCCGCTCTTTTTCTGTTCTCAGCTCCAGTTGTGAGGCTGAGATCTACGCTGGGGCCATGGCTGCACAGGAGCTTCGCTGGCTCACCTACCTGCTGACCGACTTGGGAGAGGCGCCTCGTTCTCCTCCAGTTCTGTACGTCGACAACAAGGCCATGCTGGCCTTGTGTCAGGAGCACAGACTGGAGCACAGAACGAAGCACATTGCTCTGCGCTACTTCCTTGCTCGAGAGTTGCAGCAGCGTGGCCAGCTTCGTCTTGCTTACGTGGCCTCTCAGGCCAACACTGCTGATGTTTTCACCAAGGCACTTCAGCCTTGTGATCATCAGCGTTTCTGTACTGTGTTAGGCCTTGTAACTACTGTGCCTCATTTGTTGACTTCTTGACCCTGCTTGTACTGTACTCTATATACTTATACCTGCATGTGAACTGGCCTTATGGCCCTTTGCTTGTGCTCAGACTGTGTGGTGACTTTGTGATCCACCCTGAGCTTGCTTTGCTTTTCTTGACTGGTCTTGTGACCTCTTGTTCTCCCCCACTTTGCCTATGGGGGTGTGTCAAAATTATATCTGCTATGGTCTATTTAGGCTGTAGTGGGGTAGCTCTTAGAGGGTACAACACTTATGTGTTTCCTATATGTACCCATCTCATTTCTAGTTCATTCATTCTTTCGTCTATCATTCTCACAATAACGCCGTCACGATCAGCTCCAATAATGTACGAGGCTGAAACTTGGACAGACGTTAGCTTCAAGTGTCTGCTTTCCAACTATATATTGCTTGCTTTCATCAGAGGTGTATGCGCTACGCAGTGAATGAAAACGTAAGCTCGGCTGAAAACGTGTAGTTTCATTGATGCAAGGAAGAGGGAAGTACAACATTGCCTAGGGGACTCTTAAGGGGTTGGGACCATCCTGGGAACTCAGAGAAGGTTAAGTCCTAGGGGAGAAAGGCTAGAGAAGGATGGGAAACGTCCTAGCTATCAGAATCGAAGTTAGAGTTTAGGAGCAAGCTTAGGAGCCATGCTAGAGTTTAGGCTATGGATGACTATCTGGAGAGTTGGAGAGCAAGAAAAGTAATTTCACTATAGAGAGTGAAGTACAAATAAGGTAGGAAAGGGGGGTACACCACCAAGCAGGAAATTAGGATAACTACACTACAGCTAGAACTACATGCAGTTATAACAATATAACTCTGAAACTAGCTAGGTCAGCAAAGCCAAGCACACTTGGATGTTCAGAGCTGTACTCAAGGCCACCAATAGTGAGTCAAGTCAACCATGAGTCAGCTTGTCTTCCCACTTGCACCCTCTTGCAAGCTGCTTCCAGCAAGACCACACTTCTCAAAAAGGAGGGTGGTTGAGTCCCACTTGACCACCTGTACTTCTTGTCTCATTCTCTGTCCCTGCACCATTGGCATGACAACAATGAAAGGGTGGCAAGGGAAATGCTGCCAACAGTGCACCATGACTACGGAACAGTAACTTTCGACAGCTGTCACGTGCTGCTCCGATGCTGGGTTGTCCTGAAACTCGGTGACCACCTGCAAAACACGACAAAGGACTTCTACACCGATTTTCACACCAATCAGAGCTTGGTAGATGAGTCAGAAGCCGAAATTGTGAACTCTGGTGTTACCAAAAAAGAGTAACACACACTTCCGGGATGCCATAAGTCTTGAAACTAAAAATGTTGCCATGCCTTGTAAACTGCTTAAAATTTTCTAAAACTTTGTGGGTTTAAAAAACGCATGTTGAATCACCTCCCCACAAAATTCCAAAAGCTAAGTAGGCTTGTAGGCTGAATGGGAGTGCGATGACCGTGCCACTATAGTGCTTTGACACAACAAACTCCCCCTCATCGTGCTGCAACAGGATCTCTCACTCACGGTTTCCTCTACCATAACTCAGTACCTCAGACTCAACATCCTGGACAGAGAAAACGCGATCTATCTCAATGCCGCAAAATACGCCGACTGTCAAACTTATATCTGCTATGGTCTATTTAGGCTGTAGTGGGGTAGCTCTTAGAGGGTACAACACTTATGTGTTTCCTATATGTACCCATCTCATTTCTAGTTCATTCATTCTTTCGTCTATCATTCTCACATGGTATAGAGCTAGTTTCGAGATTTTTTAGAAAGGGCCCACCACTGAAATTTCTCCCCTGCCTACTTGACGCGCGCTTTGCGCCTTCCCTTCGAGGCCCGTCACGGCCCCTGCGCCCGCCCTTAGAGCCAGCGCCCGCCCCGTAAGGCCCCGTAAGGCCTCGTTAGGCCCCGTAAGGCCCCTTACGGCCCCGTTTAAGGCCCCGTTTAAGGGCCCGTAAGGCCCCGTCAGGCCCCGTTAGGCCCCGTAAGGCCCCTTAAGGCCCCGTAAGGCCCGTTTACGGCCCCATTTAAGGCCCCGTCAGGCCCCGTATGGCCCCGTAAGGCCCCGTAAGGCCCCTTTCCGACCCCGTTTACGGCCCCGTTTTAAGGCCCCGTAAGGCCCCGTAAGGCCCCGCAAGGCCCCTTAAGGCCCCGTTTAGGGCCCCGTTTAAGACCCCATCAGGCCCCGTTTGGCCCCGTTTAAGGCCCCGTAAGGCCCCGTCAGGCCCCGTAAGGCCCCGTATGGCCCCGTAAGGCCCCATTTGGCCCCGTTTAAGGTCCCGTAAGGCCCGTCAGGCCCCGTTAGAGGCCCCGTACGGCCCCGTCAGGCCCCGTTATAAGGCCCCATTTGGCCCCGTTTAAGGCCCCGTAAGGCCCCGTCAGGCCCCGTTAGGCCCCGTAAGGCCCCTTAAGGCCCCGTAAGGCCCGTTTACGGCCCCATTTAAGGCCCCGTCAGGCCCCGTATGGCCTCGTAAGGCCCCGTAAGGCCCCTTTCCGACCCCGTTTACGGCCCCGTTTTAAGGCCCCGTAAGGCCCCGTAAGGCCCCGTAAGGCCCCGCAAGGCCCCTTTAGGCCCCGTTTAGGGCCCCGTTTAAGACCCCGTCAGGCCCCGTTTGGCCCCGTTTAAGGCCCCGTAAGGCCCCGTCAGGCCCCGTATGGCCCCGTAAGGCCCCATTTGGCCCTGTTTAAGGCCCCGTAAGGCCCGTCAGGCCCCGTTAGAGGCCCCGTACGGCCCCGTCAGGCCCCGTTATAAGGCCCCATTTGGCCCCGTTTAAGGCCCCGTAAGGCCCGTCAGGCCCCGTTAGAGGCCCCGTAAGGCACCGTCAGGCCCCGTTTGGCCCCGTTAGAGGCCCGGTACGGCCCCGTCAGGCCCTGTTATAAGCCCCGTCAGGCCCCATTGGCCCCGTTTAAGGCCCCGTAAGGCCCGTCAGGCCCCGTTATAGGCCCCGTACGGCCTCGTCAGGCCCTGTCGCAGCTCTTCCCCGGCCCTGCCCCGGTCCTACTCCTGCACTGCCCCGACCTTGCTCCTGAACTGCCCCGGCCCTGCTTCTGCACTGCCCCGGCCCTGCTCCTGAACTGCCCCGGCCCTGCCCCGGCCCTGCCCCGGCTCTGCCCCGGCCCTGCCCTGGCCCTGCTTCTGAACTGCCCCGGCCCTGCCCCGGCTCTGCCCCGGCCCTGCTCCTGAACTGCCCCGGCCCTGCTCCTGCACTGCCCCGGCCCTGCCCCTGATCTGCCCCGGCCCTGGCCCGGCTCTGCCCTGGCCCTGCCCCGGCCCTGCTCCTGAACTGCCCGGCCCTGCCCCGGCCCTGCCCCGGCTCTGCCCCGGCCCTGCCCCTGCCCTGCCCCGGCCCTGCTCCTGAACTGCCCCGGCCCTCCCCCGGCCCTGCTCCTGAACTGCCCCGGCCCTACCCCGGCCCTGCCCCAGCCTCTCCCCTGGTACGAGCGCCGCCCTGACTAGCCGGCTTAGCCGAGTTTCACTGCTGCTGCTGCTAGCCTGCTGCTTCTCCTGTCATGGCTAGTCTCAATGTTCTTACCTTTGATGCTGAGGGTCGGGCTGTTGACTTTGAGGTCTGGCTAGATGATCTGCAGCTTTTCCTACAGTGCAATAGCAAGGATGGTCTCTCACTGTTCGATCTCACGTCTGGCGCCTCTACTGCCCCTACTGCTGATGCTGACAGTACTGTTCGCTCGCAGTGGCTCACGCGCGATGCTGCTGCTCGTCTTGCTGTGCGCAACCACCTGCCGTCTACTGAGCGCGCGCACTTTAGTCAGTACAAGAGTGCTAGGGCTCTGTACGACGCTGTAGTTGCTCACCTCCGCACTAGTGACACTCCTACCGCGCTGCCCTTCCCACTGAGTTTCTTCCCACGAACTCCCCCCTCGCTATCGACTCGAGCCCGTCGGTCCTATCTCGTGGCAGTCGAGCAAGCAAGAACTAATTGCTTTCTCCTCTGCTGAAGCTGAATACATAGCACTCTGCTCAGCCAATAGTGTGTGAATGATGAGGCATGATTTTGAATGTTTGTGTCGATTCAATAGCGAGTTATCGCTAGTCGCGTATCACGTCGTCGTTTGCGTGTCCTGTGATGTTTTCTATTTTGTCGTGTGTGGAACGTTTGGCGTGTCGCAGGTGTGCGCAGCAGAATTCCAAGAACTCAAGGAAGAATGTATCTTGAAGAACCGAGCCATGGTTTCAAGATTCAAGTGATTTCGAAGCTCTCCAAAAGGGTAAACTTCAAGATAGTGAGAATGGTTACATTACGATGTGTAGTGTAACATTTCTCTTGGTGTAGGCCATTGTAGAGGGTATTTTCGAGACCCTTCATGGTTGGGGATGGTGTGGCACTGTTCCACATCACTGTACCTCAGCTCTTGGGGTTTTTAGAGGCTGGGAGTCATTCCCAACTCGTAACTCTTCCTAATTTGTGTTCTAAGACTATAGTGGCTGCCGTAGTGCTGTTCGTTCAAACCAAAGTTGCGTCATCAATACTGGATGAAATCGTGTGATGTAAATTGCCTATTGTAGGGGATATCAAGACGCTCCATGTCCAATTTATAGCAAGTCATTTAAAGCTGTGAACAGAACGCTATCAACGTTTGAAGCCGCTATGCAGAAATCCGACTGTGCACTCTATCTTTCGTTTTAGGCACATTCAAGCCTACATTTCCG